AAATTTTCGTTTTTCTTTTGTAGGCTAAGTACTTATCGGACCACCCTCGTATATTGGGCATTCTCTGTCAAATCTGACACTCCCTTTGTCCAAAAATTGAAGCAACAAATAAAACTGTACCAGGGCTCATTTTGAAACTATGGATGTGTACTTTTATTTAAATCGTGGCCTTTTCAGAAAACCAATATGACGGTTCCAATATGGCGGCTTAAAATTGAAAAAATTAATAGGAAATTTATTATTACCTGATTATATCTTTCATATCGGGTAAAATTCATGGAGTAAAATGGTTTCTTAGAGTTTTCGAAGGTGCTCTTTCCAAATCAATGATTGGATTTTTCATTTAACCTCTTTTAAGGATTAAAAATAGACGTTAGGTGTTAATTTTCCAAGTTTTCGTGCGCTCAGTGCCATTCGTTGGTGAGAAAAAAATATCTCAGAGCTATCTGAATATATTCTTCCACAACCGATCATGCATCAGCATTTCGCTTCCTAGAAGGGTTAGAAATAAGGATTGAGATGAATTTTCAAGGATTTCGTACACGTAATGCCATTCATTGGTAGGGAGAAAATATTTCAAAGCTATTAAAATGTATTCTTCGAGAAACCGATGTCTCTTCAGCAAGTTGTTTTCTAAGAGGGTTCAAAATAAGGATTGGCGAGGATTTGTACAGATTTTTGCTCTTAATGCAATTTGTTGGAATGAATAGAATATTCTGGGCTTTATGAAAAGATTTGGAAAGGAGTCGTTTCTCCATCATTTTACCCTCTGAGGAGAAGGAAATTAGGGATTGGGGGTGACTACTGGTTGGTTTTATGCACTCGATGCCAATCGTTGGAGAGAACAAAATATTATTATTAATCAAACGATTTTCTAATGCTACTCACGGTACACAATTTTCTTTGGAAAATTCGAAATGAACGAAAGATTTTCTGCGATCTCTCTCAACTAAAATAATTCTTGAAGAGAAAGAAAGTGAAAATCCCATTTTTTATATTGAAAATGGATTTTCAATAGGTCTATTCTCTATTCTTATCTCCCAAATCTCAAATTTTATTATTTTTAAGAATATATAATATATAAGATCTATTGAATATATAAGATCTATTGAAAATCCATTTTCAATATAAAAAATGGGATTTTCACTTTCTTTCTCTTCAAGAATTATTTTAGTTGAGAGAGATCGTAGAAAATCTTTCGTTCATTTCGAATTTTCCAAAGAAAATTGTGTACCGTGAGTAGCATTAGAAAATCGTTTGATTAATAATAATATTTTGTTCTCTCCAACGATTGGCATCGAGTGCATAAAACCAACCAGTAGTCACCCCCAATCCCTAATTTCCTTCTCCTCAGAGGGTAAAATGATGGAGAAACGACTCCTTTCCAAATCTTTTCATAAAGCCTAGAATATTCTATTCATTCCAACAAATTGCATTAAGAGCAAAAATCTGTACAAATCCTCGCCAATCCTTATTTTGAACCCTCTTAGAAAACAACTTGCTGAAGAGACATCGGTTTCTCGAAGAATACATTTTAATAGCTTTGAAATATTTTCTCCCTACCAATGAATGGCATTACGTGTACAAAATCCTTGAAAATTCATCTCAATCCTTATTTCTAACCCTTCTAGGAGGCGAAATGCTGATGCATGATCGGTTGTGGAAGAATATATTCAGATAGCTCTGAGATATTTTTTTCTCACCAACGAATGGCACTGAGCGCACAAAAACTTGGAAAATTAACACCTAACGTCTATTTTTAATCCTTAAAAGAGGTTAAATGAAAAATCCAATCATTGATTTGGAAAGAGCACCTTCAAAAACTCTAAGAAACCATTTTACTCCATGAATTTTACCCGATATGAAAGATATAATCAGGTAATAATAAATTTCCTATTAATTTTTTTAATTTCAAACCGTCATATTGGTTTTCTGAAAAGGCCACGATTTAAATGAAAGTACACATCCATAGCTTCAAAATGAGCCCGAGTACAGTTTTATTTGTTACTTCAATTTTTGGACAAAGGGAGTGTCAGATTTGACAGAGAATGTCCCATATATATATAATTTATTTATTTATTTCCGTGTTTAAAGAAATATCTTCTCGAGATTCTCGTTAGATGTTACACTCGTCGTGAAGAAAATTAACGAAACTTTTTTAGCTTGATTTTTATGATTTTTTTCTGAATAATTCCTCGGATTTTTTCTGAATCAAACTATAAAAGATCTCTGTACCAACCAATTTTCAGTCGTATTATGTGCTCAAAGAATGTATCTTGGAGTTTGTGCAAAAAGAGTTAATCCACTATCGAGTAAAGGGTGGACGAATTATGATGTAGGTCTGCACATGCGGGCCGGCGGCTCACGTGGCTTCGAAAGCGAATCGATCATCCCTCTCGAGCGGATGTTTGCGCTACGAATTGCGCTGGAAGGGGCGGAGGCCAGTGGTATCAAAGATTCGATGGTAGGGAGCGCCGCAGCTTATCTCGACGTGTGAGAG